TAACTAAGAATATATTTGTTAGGAAATGTATATTCTATAGAGACCAACAATAATTTTAATTTGTTGAAATGTTTTATGATCTCCATATGTGAGTACATCGTATCATTAGTGTTTGTTTTCTTTTATTTCCATTGGTAGAGAAAATTAAGAGAGAACTAAAAATACTTTAAAGAAAGATGATTAGAAAACCATTCAAGTTGTTCATTAATTATTTCCAATATCTAATTTTTCAAGTCCCACTTATTAAAGGGAAAATGTTATGTTGACAACCATTTTTTGACAACAATTTCACAACGTCATGTGGCGTCTTTGCATTGGGTAAATAAAGTGAAAAGAAACAAGAAAGAGGTTATCAGGCCGAGGGGTATTTTTGGAAGAAGATTTCAAAATTTTAAGAAATGGGTTTGGCGGTTTATTTTGGGCGTAACGTGCGTAGGTTTTTCAACCCTTCCATCTTCTCTCTAGCTCTCTCCTCCATCTTGACCCTTCCATCTTCTCTCGCGTTGTATCATGTATGTTATCTTTGAAACCCTAGTGTTGTTGTATTTGTGTAGTTGGAAGGTGGGTGTCGTTTTCTATGTGGTTACTTTGTTGTGGATTTTCCCGTCTGCTGAGAGGAGGCCGTGGAGCATTGTTATCCGTCGTTGTTGGTGTAAGTAAAAATGGCGAGCCCTCACATTGTCTTTTACATTGTCTTTTTGGGTGTTCATTAACCTTAATGATATAACGAGTGTGGTTGTTATCTTGTTAGGGCAGTTTATGGAAGAACATATTAATTCTTATGATTTTAGTATCATTGTAGTATATAAAGTTATCATCATTTTGTGTAGTGGCGGCTTCTTACCTAGATGACTCATCGATCATTATTGAAATGAATCGTTTACTAGGAAAGTCTCATGGAGCGCATTAGGATGACTCCATTTATTGGTGTTTGAATATTCATAGCCCTATGGAGGTGAATTTGAAATTATTGAAGGTTATGAGTTTGCAGGTGGCCGGGCAGATAATAGTTTTAGAGTAAGTCAACAGTTGATGCCCTTTTCAGGTATTGATGTGTTCATGAGCATAGGTTTAGAAATAGGTGGTTAGAGATTCCGATTTGATGAAGTAGTTGTTGATTGGTTGGTTAATGTTCAAATAAAAAAACTATCACTTTGAAAGAGTTGAGGACATGTTTATGTTATTGGGCATGATAATAAACATTGATTTGATGTAGTATGTTAGGGTATATATATTAGTTTGTTTGGTTGTTTTTATTTCCAAACCCCGTCACCATCCTCATTCCTCAAACGCCTAAACAAAGGATCTCTTCTCCTCGGATGAGCAACAGAGAAATATGCCCAACATTTTCTCAATCGTGAAAATTGGGAAAGTAAGTATCTAGAGGACGGTACTTTGAAGGGAAAAACACTTTCAATCTATGACATATTGGCCAAGCTCGGCTTACTGAATTTGGTCTTTAAAAGACATTACCACCCATAATTGTGAGAGTGTTCTACAGCACATGTCAATCTCGGATACTAGAAGTTCTCGAAGCGAGGGAAAAGCGTGTAAAAAATTAGGGTGAGCCCTAACCTTTTCAACAACTCACTTATTCTCCCCCCTCTGGGGTTCGTTATGAAGGAAAACTTGTAGATGGAGTGGAAAGAACATAACGTTCATGTTAATGCAGGCCAATAGTTGTAGAGATGATGCAGTCATACAATCCAGAATACTAGCGGGCCAAATGAAGGTTCAACCAAGGATACTTCATTACGTTCTCACTCGAGTATTAATTCTTCGTGCAACCAATATTGGTCAGGCATCCGAAGAGGATATTATGCTGCTATGGACATTTTTCAATTCCATTCACATTAACTGGGGACATCTTATTAGATATAAGATGACAATAGCATTAAGGGAGAACGCAAAGTTGCCATATCCGCATTTGATAACCATCTTCATGGAACACTTTCAAGTGCCTACTAACACTGATCCCATTTCAAAAGTGAAGTTCAAGCAAAAAATTGGTTGTGAAGTTGTAGCATCATTTGGTTATGTGCAAAAGGATGATGAGAATGGGTCCCAAAGGCAACGCCCCCCATCCCCCCTTACAACAAGGTCAAGAATAACAAGGAGAAGATGATGAACAAGGCAGTTCATCTACAACACTAAATAATGTCATGAAAACCGCATAGACAACTTCAGAACCTCGTTGGTACACGATTTGAGCCTTGGAAACTCGATTTGATGCCTTGAAACTCGATTTGGAACATGAAACATGGTCATCACACAAGGTGTGCTGCGTTGCAATCGCCGTTGGAACATTGAAGAACAACTGCCAACACTTGCAAAGTGGTCTGAAAACAATCCTTAGACTTAGAATTGCTTGTTTAGGCTTTATTTTCTGCATTATAAAAAAACTATGTATCACAGTTCCTATTTTCATAATTTGAAGTCTTTAATTTAATGAAGTTCTTTACTGTCAAACTACTTCCTCAATTTTCGTCATTTAATATGTAATGTTTAATTTATGATACACTAAATATAATTGCAGTTGTGAGTAAAACACCAACACCACTTACCAAATATTACTCTCCATCCACTTAGAGGTGGACTTCTGTCTGAAATGAACTGATTTTGACAATGGTCACCCATGTTACCCTGACTGACTACTTCAGTGAAGTTTCTGTACAAAACCTTGTTTTCTCTCGCGTAATCGTTTACCAGGACTGTGTAAACGATTACAGCAGGGTTTTTGGAGCAGTCTGATTCAACCCTTCCACAACTTGGTCCCCCCACTTAAAATGGGTTCTTCTTCACTACTTGGGGTCACATCACAAACATACATATTAAAATGACGAAAAAGTGAGGGAGTAGTTGACAGAAAGAACTTCATTAAATTAAAGACTTCAAATTATGAAAAATAGGTACTGTGATACATAGTTTTTTATAATGCAGAAAATAAAGCCTAAACAAGCAATTTCTAAGTCTGAGGATTGTTTTCAGAACCACTTTGCAAGGTTTTGCAGTTTGTTCTTCAATGTTACCAACGCGCGATTGCAACGCATCAAACCTTGTAGTGTTTTTTGATGCCCATGTACTGTTTCCAAATCGAGTTCAAAGGCATAAATCGAGTTTCAAAGCATCAAATCTTGTACCAACGAAGGTCTGAAGTTGTTCTATGCGGTTCATGAACATCATTTAGTGTTGGAGATGAACTGCCTCCTTGTTTCATCATTATCCTTGTGATCTTACCTTGTTGTAAGGGGGGGATGGGGGGCGTTGCCTTTGGGAACCCATTCTCCATCATCATTTTGCACATAAGCCAAATGATTGCTACAACTTCACTACCCATTGTTTGCTGAACTTCAATTCTGAAAGGGATCAGGTCAGTAGGCACTTGAAAGTATTCCATGAAGATGGTTATCAAATGATGGATATGGCAACTTGGCATTCTCCCCTTAATGCTCTTTCATCTTATATCTAATAAGATTGTCCCCAGTGAATGTGAATGGACTTTTAAAAATGCCATAGCAGCATAATATCCTCTTCGGAGGCCTGACCAATTTGGTTTGCACGAGAAATTAATACTCGAGTGAGAACGTAATGAAGTATCCTTGGTTGAAACCTTCATTTGGCTCGCTAGTATTCTGGATTGTCTGACTGCATATCTATACAGACTAGTTGGCCTTGCAGTAGTAACACAATCGTATTGTTCTTTCCACTCATCTAAAGTTTTTCCTCATAACGAACACCATGAGGGGGGAGGGAGATTAGTGAGTTGTGAAAAAGGTTAGGGCTCAGCCAATTTTTACACCTTTACCTCGCTTCGAATAACCCCAGTATCCGATTATTGACATGTTGCTTGTAGAACACTCTCACTAAATTCTGGGTGGTTAATGTCTTTCTTAAAGACACAATTTCAGTCAGCCCAGCTCGGCCAAATATGTCATAGAATCGAAAATTTTCCTTCAAAGTAACGTCCTCTAGATACTTACTTTCCATATTTCACGAATTGAAAATGTGGGCATATTTCTCCTGTTGCTCATCCGATGAGAAGAGATCATTGTTAGGCGTTGGAGGGGATGAGGATGGTGATGAGGTTGGAAAATAAAAAACAACCAAACAAACTAATATATTAACCTACATACTACATCAACATCAATGTTATTATCATGCACAATAACATTAAACATGTCCGTCAACTCCTTCAAAGTGATAATTTTTGATTTGAACATTTCACCAACCAATCCAACAACTACTTCATCAAACGGAATCTCTAAACCACCTATTTCTAAACCTATGCTCATGAACACATCAATAAGAAAAAGGCATCAACTGTGATTTACTCTAAAACTATTATCGTTGCCCGGCCCACTGCAAACTATACCTTCCAATAATTCAAATTCACCTCCACAGGGCTATGAATATTCAAACACCACATAAATGGAGTCATCCCAATGCGCTCCACATGACATTTTCCTAGTAAACGATTCATTTCAATAATGATCGATGAGTCCATCGAGGTAAGAAGCCGCCACTACACAAAAATGATGATAACTTTATTAATAACTACAATTGATACGATAATAAATAATCTATAAAAAGAAAATTATAATTTTTCTTACACTTCGTTTTTTCCCTTCCATTGAAACTGCCCTAACAAGATAACAATCCACACTCGTTATATCATTAAGGTTAATGAAACACCAAGAAGACAATGTAAAAGACAATGTGAGGGCTCGACCATTTTTACTTACACCAACAACGACAGATAACAATGCTCCACGGCCTCCTCCAGCAGACGGGAAATCCACAACAAAGTAACCACATAGAAAACGATACCCACCTTCCAACTACACAAATACAACAATACAAGACCAACAACACTAGGGTTTCAAAGATAACATACATGATACAACGCGAGAGAAGATGGAAGGGTCAAGATGGAGGAGAGAGCTAGAGAGAAGATGGAAGGGTTGAAAATAAACCGCCAAACTTATTTCTTAAAATTTTGAAATCTTCTTCCAAAAATACCCCTCGGCCTGATAACCTCTTCCTTATTTCTTTTCACTTTATTTACCCAATGCAACGCCACATGGCATTGCGAAATTGTTGTCAAAAAATGGTCGTCAACATAACATTTTCCAAAACATAAATACAAACACCAACACAAACCATGAAGTCTACACTATCCCTTACTCTCTCTTTCCTCTTTGTCTTTTATACCAAGTTTCTTCCAGTAGCATTGTCTAGGGTTCATGAAGAGGTCCTTGACTCAAATGGAGTACCCATTTCTTCATGTGCTGAATACTACATTTCAATGCTTAATCATCATGGCCCAGCAGGTTGTGGAGTAGAACTAGACACAGACGGGAACTCAACATGCCAAGTAGTTGTTCTACAAAATTACCATGAGAATTTCCCTGGTAAGGCTCTAAAATTCAGCACAGAAGGAACAAGTTCAGGTGGCATATTCACAAACACAAAGATTACATTTGACTATCACCCTTATTGCGCATCATCGTCCAAGTGGGTGGTGGTAGCTGGTGGTGATGATTCATTCCCTGCAAGATGGGTGGGTATCGGTGATGCTGCAGACCATCCAGGGAAGAAGATCTTAAGTGGGAGCTTTATGATTCAGAAATATGGTGATAGTTATAAATTTGCATTTTGTGCCACCATTATCGACAACACTTGTTTTAGTATTGGGAGAATTGACGATTAGTGATGGAAGTCTCATGTCGACTAAATATAAGGTCAAATTATAATATATAAGTGAAGTGCAAATCTCAACATACAAGTCGGTTTTGTGGGGTTGAGTTAGGCTTAAAAATTCACTTTCTAATATGGTATAGAGTCATGGTTAGAACCTACACTAGTGCAAAAAGGGAATTTAACGTCTGTTATTTTGACCTTTTAACGTCAGCTCCAGAACCGACGTCTTTGTGGGTGACGTTAATCAAACGTCGGACTCCAACAGGTCCAACGTCTTTATAGACGTCGGTTACTGCATGACCCCCGACGTCTAAGGGGGCTCCATAGATGTCAGTTAATGCAATGTCTGATGTCTGAAGGGCTCCATAGACGTCGGACATTGCATTGTCCGATGTCTATGGAGCCCTTCAGACATCGGATATTGCATTAACCGATGTCTAATTCCGCACTAATACTATCCTAACGATATTTCTTATTTCTTGAACATTTATATTTTCGTCCGTTCATCCGAAGGACCATCCCATTAATTCTAATAATCAGATTGGAAGGCGTCTCGTTTTGATGGATGACTCCCACGCTAAAGTTCCCTTCAATCAAATGTTGCTCTATACTAATATATATATATATATATATATATATATATATATATATATATATATGAGTATTCATTGTTTGAAAAATTCAGAGTTTTTTATTTTTTTAAATAAAAATGTTATTTAATGAAAATTTTACAAATACAAGTTCTTTAAAATTGAGAAGGTTCTAAGAATGTTTTTGGTGAAAGTTTTGTGCAAAAAGTTCACTGTGAATCAAAATTTAATACTAAAATTAAATCCATGTTTGTAACAAAACAATACATGGATTTTACAAATAATAGTTTACAAAGATTTGAAAAAAGAAGTTACTGGTAAATTCTAATTTTCATTCAATACGAAAGAAAAATTGAATAATAATATTTTAATTTACTATATATTAATAATGATAAAAATATATGTAGTTGATTTTTAATTAGTTAGACAAGACAACGATCATAATTGATATTTATTTAATATTTAATTTACATTATTAGCGTTATGGATCAGTTTTCAAATAAATGTTTTTTAATTAATTCTCATACACTATTAATGATAATTCTGTGTGTGTGTGTTTTTTAATTGAGTGATTTTTATGAATCAATTTTTTTGTAGTTTTTCTATAATTTCTCATAAAATTTTTTATAGCTTAGAAGTCAAATAATAATAGAAAAAAACACACTTTACTACTAAATTCTTCAAATATAAAACTAATAGTTTTTTTTTTTAGAAATTGAAACGTTTATGAGAAAATATGTTATTTGGGTTAAAAAATAAAATTTTAAAAATTTATTAAAGTAATTGAATTGATTAAAATTAGAGAATTTTAAATCCAACTTATAAAGAAAGAATTTAAAATTTTTCATAATTTTCAATTCACATAGTTTGCTATATGTACTTTTCCTAAGTTGATTTTGGATTTTGGATGTGATTAACTTGATTAAGATTGAAACATGATAGAATGACAATTTCTACTTGAACTTGTTTTTTTAGTGATGCTAATAAGAACTATTTTTTGATTTAAGTTTTAGAATATTTTTTCAAACTATTCGTATTTTTTACTCTATATTAATTAAAATTTTCTTGATATTAAAGTTTATCAAACAACATTACAAATATAATTTGTATCATTTATGACGATATAAAATGATATATTTTAGGATACACATTTTATATTTCTATCCTATCCTTAAGAATATAAATATAAAAGAGAATTTATTTTAATATACATATTACATTTTCCCTTTAGTTATATCTTAGAATTAAAAAAAGTTATTAGTGCCTATCATATTACAAATCATTTATGACCAAACACTACTTTTTTTTTTATTTATTTAACTATCATTTTTAATATTCTTTTTAACATCCAGAAATATAAAGTGTCTCTTTGCCACTATTTTAAATATATATAAAAAGAAAACAAAATATTTACATATTAGGTAAGTAAACCTATATTACAAAAGCAAACACATCAAAATACAATTACTTTTTAATAACTAATTAAACATGTCTCCTTATTCTAAATTACCTAACAAATTTTTTCAATAATTCCTATAAAATTACATATATAATATAATTTAAAACTATATTATTTTAACATAATAAAAATTTGAATATCTATCTGAATCTCATTTGAATAAAATGAGGTATGTTATACTTCTCATCAGGAGTGATGGATTCCTTACTACAGTAATTTATTCATTTTAAAAACACATTTATATCAGCTTAAAGTCAAAGAAAAACATTTTCAATTTCAATAAATATATTTATTAAGGCATTGATAGTCAAAAACAAAACTTCAGAAAAAGAAGTAAAATCATATAATAATTAGGGTGAAAGAAACAAACCGAAAGCTTTGACCAATAGAATGAAACAAAACATTAACTTTACCACATGCAATGCAACCCCAAGAAAACTCTATATATAGAAAACAAGATTGAAGCAACAAAACACAGAGACATTAACACAAACATGAAGTGTGCAATATCACTCACCTTTCCTTTCCTTCTGTTTGCCTTGGCATCAGCAAGGTTCGTGGATCCGCCTGTGCCAGTCGTTGACTCGAAAGGTGTTCCTCTTTCTGCTGCTGAAGAATACTACGTGACGCAGCTCAACAGTGGTCCAACAGCCAGTGGATTACAACCTGGTGTTGAACGCGATGTGAAATGCCCGCTGATTGTTATGCAGGATTATAATCCGGCGATTCTTGGGGAGAAAGTGAAGATCACGATTCGAGGAGTAAATTCAAAGACGATCATGACTGGAACACCATTAGATATTGCGTTTGTGAACAAACCTTCGTGTGCTTCATCGTCGAAGTGGGTGGTTGTTAATGAAAAGCAGTATTCTGGAGAATGGTTGGGTATTGGTGGCACCACAGATCTTGGAGCGGATAAGAAGATCGTAGATGGAGTGTTTAAGATTGAGAAATACTTGTTTGTTGAGGGTTACAAGTTCGTGTTCTGTCCCAGCAGCTCCACCAAATGCTTCGACTTTGCGAGACGTGAAGAGAAAAACGGAAAGCGTTTGATCTTGGTGAACGAGACTACGTCTCCTTTCATATTTGAAGCTGAATTTGTAAAAGCAGTTAAGCAAAAGTCATCAAGCTTCTTGTTCTAGATATTTATGTGTTGAGTTGCTTAAACCAGTTTTTTCTTTTATTAATAAACATGATTTTGTTATGTACACTAACACTGAAAAAAAAAATTGTTCACTTTGAGTAGTTTTTCTTTTAATATTTATAACAATGTTTTTGTTAATGATTTTATAACTTTTTATTAAATAAATATTAAAAATTAATGTGATAATTTTCATTCCTTTTTCCAATGAGATTTATTTCTTGCTAATGTTTATCTTAATTATACTTAATTTTATCTAATATTTTAAAGAGTATTGTTATCTAAAATGTTAACTTGTAAATGTATTGTTTTCATATTTAAATTTTATAATTTATAATTTATAATTTATCATTTGAAACCAGAGATGTATGTTTATTTGTAAATGTATATATATCTATGTACGTAGCTATGTAGTTACCATTTCTTGGACACTTGATAAGTAAAGATACCACATCAATTCAATTTAAAAAATTAAAAATAAAATTAATAACAATGTAAAATTGTAGAACAGACTTAAATATATAATATGTTAGAGAACTATATTTATAATATACTGTTTAGTTATTAGTTATGTTTGAATAACGAATATTATGTTTTTTTTAATATTACATAAAATAATTTTAATGTTTTTTTTTTATATTTTTAATGTGATGTTTGAAAATTTAATGATAAAATTAGATTTTCTTTAAATGCTCTTTAAATCAAGAGAGAGAGAAATATTATATTTTGATAATTATAAATAAAAAATAAATTTTATATTTATATACGACATAATATCTTATGGTGAATATCTATTAATTAAAAAATTATAGTTTTTTATTTTTTAGTTATTTATTATGTAAATTCTCTAAAATTTTACAATTGCTTGAGTTATTTTTATTATTTATTGTTAAAAGCTTGTTTAACTATCTTTATAACCAAAACATCATTTTATTTATTTATATTTACAAATGGGACTTAAAATTGTAACACCTGGATTAATAGAATTTATCTACTAATTACTAATTAAAGTATGTCATAAGTATAAAAACTACTTTAAGTATACACCATGCATTACTGTGCTCCTCAATTTGTTTACATACCCAGGTTTTTCAAAATATAATAGTTCATGAAAATAAGGAAGATTAAGTGTAATACAATACAAACTATGCATTTCAAAAGTCCCTCCTACTCTAAGCAACCTCTTTTACTCCTATACAAATTAAACGATCATAGTGAAAAGAAAAACAATTACAAATTAAGATAAATTAATACATTTTAAAAAAAGATTAATAATTGAATTAAATGATTAAAACAAACAATCACAATAATTACTTTTAAGAAAACGAAAGAAGAACTTACTAAATTAAAAAAAAAAAGAAAAAAAAGATCATAATCGAAGATAGATTTCCCTGTTAGGAATCCTAGGATATTTTTCAATTTTCAAACAAATAAGTAAAAGTTTAGAAAAGATAAGGGACGGATTTTTTCTTTTTACTTTTTTAGAAATATAGTAACTTTTATAAGATGAAATTGGTTTAATATATTTATATTTATTTGAAAGTTTTATCTCACTTAAATTATTTTCTATATTCTTATAGTCATATCTAAAATAATAATACACAAATCAGTGACTTTTTTTTTTCTAAATAAGAAGAGTGAGGACAATGATTTAAATTTTATTTAGAAATAAATTTAAATGAAGTAAAATATAAAATTTTATAAATAAAGTATTGACTTTTATTTTATTCAAAAATTATTATCTATAAAACTTATATTTTTTTTTTATCTCCAAGTAAATAATTTAATCACATATATTATCAAATTACCTTGAGAAAGCA